ACCTCCTGCATTCATTTCGTTGCTAAGACACTCATATCGTATGAACCGTCACGTATTGGAACGCTGAGTGACAAATGTATACATATTTGTGCAATTGCGTGCAGGTCAAAATGGGTTGGCTAAATGTCATGTAGTGCTTTGATAACAGTGTCAGATGTGTGTAAACAAGAGAGGGAGACGTATCCGCGTACAAGTTTTTTGCTCGCGGTGGAAATACAAACTTGTTTTCACTGCACCCCAAAAAATGAAGCTCCTTTGCAAAGTCAGCAAACAAAACATAGCTGGAGCACTCATTTGAGTCCATATCAAAATCTGAACAAGTAGTAAATAGCTGATTGTGCAAAATGCGGCCACTTCCACAGTTACACTGAGGCAGGGTGGCTGTATGGAGACCAAGGATGGATAAACTGACGATCGCACGGAACACAGATGTTTTATCCATACGCACTGAAGGGCCCAAACATGAATCTGTACTCCCTATTGCCCCACTGCCATGGGAGAGTTGCAAGATGGTCATTTATTGATCCTCAACACAGAAATTCAAGAATTAAAAAAATGTAAAAGTAATTGGAATGAGTCTGTAGTTACCGTATTGGCCCGAATATAAGATGGCCCTGATTATAAGACGACCCCCTCTTTTTAAAGACTCAAGTTTGAAAAAAAGACTTTTTGAACACCAAATTATTTTTTATACAGAAAAGAATTACAGTACATCTGAAACAAATGATTATAACAATATATTTGAGAGAAAAAGCATGTTATTTTGCCTCATTCAAATCTTAATATCTGAACATTTAAATATGTAAACTAAAGTGCAATCACATTTGTAAATGAATGGCTTCTGGTTTTTGAAATGTAAATTACATCGTAACTTCTCCTCAGCTGCCGGTGAACCTGACCGATCTTCGACCCACTTTTCTCCAGATTGTCACTATGTTTCTCCATTTTCTATTATCTCTTCTATTATTTTCATCTATTTTCTTTCTTACCGCTATTTTTTATTTTTCTCCTTCGTGCTACCGCTATTTTTATTTTTATTCTTCTTGACAGGGGTTCGCTTTGGCCTGGGGAGTCAAGTTCAGCATTCGCTTCAATGATATCTGGCGCCATCTAGCGTCGTGAATGGGTATAACGTCTAGACCCCGAATATAAGATGACCCCCATTTTTTCAGTCTTATTTCAATGCAAAAAACACCGTCTTATATTCGGGCCAATACGCTATATATGGTGTGTGGAGAACCATGTGCACTTTTAGTAAAAGAAGAAATGTTTGCTTCCAGCTGCAACAACAGTTGGGATTGGCCCTCGCATCCTGCACACAGACGACATGTGGCCACAATTATTGGGACACATCAAGTAATCAATCACTCACGTAGGTTAGCCCATTAAATGCATTATGCTTCTCATGACAACATTGTAGGAAATTATTTTTATGGCACATTGAGTCTGTTTTTACCTGGCAAATACTGTTCCCGAAAGTGAATATCGCTAAACGGATTGATTGTTACATTTGAACAATTGCTCAAAATAAATTTTCGACTATTTATCCTGCTCAGGGTCACGGGGAAGCTTGAGCTTATCCCAGCTGACTGGGCGAAAGATTGATTGCAAGTCAGTCATATTTCTTATCGCTGTAATTTTTTTTCACACTGTATGCCCTACTGTTACATCACTCTCTCTCTCTCTCTCTCTCTCTCTCTCTCTCTCTCGCGCTCTTTCTCTCTCTGTCTCACACACGCACACACACAGCTGCAGAAACTTTGAAAAACAATAGGTCGGCAGAGCGCAAGGGATCCCATGGAGAGACAAACAAGCAGTTAGTGCACATGTGAACTAAGCCTGTAACATGACTTGCATTTATGCAACACTCTGAAGATTAGAGTTTGCAGTGACACTTTGACAGTATAGTCAGTGTTTGATAGACCTCCTCAGACCATGCGCAGACACGAATAATCCAGGATAAGCTTTTGAAAAATTGTCAGACACATCCTTTACCCAAGATGCAGTGTATTGAAAGGACAGTCATTCATGATAACAATAATTCTCAACTCAACTGTATTTATAGAGCACTTTCAAACAGCCATCGCTGCATACAAAGTGCTGTACATGGAGCAATTAACATATACAACTAACAGTAAAGCAAATCGGTAACAAAGACGGTAGAAAGCACCGAACAGCAAAAACCAAGAACAAATCTAAGTCATGCTGAGTCAAATGCCAAAGAATACAAATGAGTTTTGAGGCGGTTTTGAAGATGGGCAGCGAGGAGGCTTGCCGAATGTTCAGTGGGAGGTCGTTCCAGAGAGAGGGACCAGCAACAGAAAAGGCTCAATCCCCTCTGAGCCTCAGTTTAGTTCTTGGTACTTCTAATAATGTCTGGTCCTTACTACAGGTAAGTTAGTGGTGTCCTGATGGCTCCCACCACGCGATGAAGCACCACGGGGCACCAATGTTCTCTTTTGAAACGCACTACCGACTTGTGTGAAAAATGCTTAAAAAAAAACTAAAACTACATTTTAAATTAATGAAAGTAACTAAAATTAACTATTATTATTATAACGAAAATGTCCTTTGTTTTCATCTTCGTCAATTAATAATAATAATAATAATAATACATTTTATTTATAAGCGCCTTTCAAAATACCCAAGGACACTTTACAATCAAAAGAGCAATAAAACCACAGATAAAATTATAAATAATAAAAGCGATGAGTTTAAACTGTATATGCAATTTTAAATAGGTGGGTTTTGAGATGAGTTTTGAATATAGGAAGAGAGTCAATATTCCGGATGTCAGGTGGGAGTGAGTTCTAGAGTTTGGGGGCAGAGCGGCTGAAAGCTCTGCACCCCATCGTGCTGAGACGGGCAGGGGGTACACAGAGGTGGAGGGAGGCTGAGGACCTAAGGGAACGAGAGGGAACGGAAATTTGAAGAAGGTCCGACAGATGGGGGGGCAAGGTTATGGATGGCTTTGTATATGAAGAGGAGTATTTTGAAGTTGATCCTCAGTTTGACAGGGAGCCAGTGCAGCTGTTGGAGGATGGGGGTGATGTGATGGAAGGAGGGGGGTCCAGTAATGATACGGGCCGAAGGATTCCGGACCCATTGA